CCCTAAAAATAAGCGGCCTCCCTATGAATTACCTGAATAAAAAAAATACACTTCACATACATCATCAAATCAGCATACGTTTTTTTTAATTTTATCAACATTTACTTAGCATGGAAATAGCCCCTTTCGAACAGATGGTCCTCAATTTATATTACATTAAATCTTTCTTGAGGAGCTCGATGGCGCAGGTGGTTAGCGCGTTCGGCTGCGATGCTTGACGTTAAGCAACTTTCGCAGTGGCCGGTCATTGGATGGGTGACCAAAACATCTATCTCGAGTTCTTCCGTGCTTCGGAAGGCACGTTAAGCCGTTGGTCCCGGCTGCATCTGCAGTCGTTAGCACCCGCCAATCCGCACTGGGCCCGCGTGGTGGGTCATGGCCCAATCTCCCTATTCCATCCATAGGGAAGGCCTGTGCCCCAGCAGTGGGGACATTAATAGGCTGATGATGATGATGAAAACGTTTATCTCTCAGAGAAATCAACTTACATGAACCACATTTAAGCGCACCCAGCGACATCTATTATAAAAAAATGCATTTTCTTCGCAATAAAGCTGCCACCTGGACGTCCTAGATAGAGAATTATTATTATAATACGATAAAATAAAATATTACTATGTTTCGTCCAATATATTGAAGGTCAACAACCTTTCCAATTTTATTGTTTTCGTCTTACGAATTTTCGATTAGGTCACGTGTCCTGAAGCGATCAGGCCACGTGTCCTGAAGCGAGTTTAACATTTTTAACCCATTACAAAAAAGTGTACAACGCCGCTAAAGAAGTTTTCACTTCAAAAATAATTTAAAATCTGCTACTGTTTCCGTAACAACTAAGTACATTATTTATTTAGATAAACATAATGACTTACCTAGTTACCCACATGAGTTATGGAGATTACAAGCCTGTATCTGTAGCTACGAGTATAATCTAATGACTTTAAATATATAAACATTCACCATTGCGAATACAACAACTCTCATTGCATCGCAATGAAGGCGTAATTTTCAAATTGTATCCGCCAATACGGCATCGACAATACCTACCTGTCTTCGTAAAAAAACTGTTCCAATCTATTTTCCAGTACGTTGAGTCAACACAGCTCCATTCATCGGGCAATGAAAATATTGGCCGTTTATCTTTTTGTTTCCCTCGAAAAACTCAGGGTTCAACTGACACCGCCAGAGGGCGCCTGCGTATGTGGATGCGTGTGTATGTGTGTGCACGCCGAATTCATTTATTGCAACAACTGTAGAGGATTTGAGTACGCGCTGATATGTGAAATCACTGTTTGGTTTGATATTTTCCCCTGACGCTTTTTTATCACCTTCCGCCCACCTACATAGTTGTGAATAAATGGATATCTGAGCTGACGAATATCCATTTCATTTTGCTATTTTCCATTTGGATGACTCTATTTTTTTGACGTGCATGTTACCTTTCTGCAAGACGGTAGGTAGTAATTAAAGTCAGTCAGAAGTTGTGAAAAATCAAAACATATTCTTTAATATTGCTAATTATCGTTACATAACTGATTATATAAAATAACTTAATATTATGGAAACAAACCATTCATGAATCTTTCTATTTTTACAACATCAGAATTCTCAATAGTGATGATAACTTAAAACTTTTCTTTTTCGTCTACCAGGTATTGAACACTTATTTTTTCTTTATTCACATATGCAAAACATTACAGAGATTGTATTTTATTAAAATTTCATATTTTTTATTATGTTTGAGATAATTCTGTATGTTCTAAGTATGTTGTTGAAAAAAAAACCAAATATATTATTATTAAGTTTACAAAAAAACATATGTTGAATATACTCAAAATTACCCAACTCTCGAGAATAATCATGTAATTAGAAACGTTGTATAATTAACACTGCCCGTGAGAAAACTTAATATGTTATTAAAATGAGACAATAAAATTTAATAAGAACCTTATTTATCATGAGGGCATTTCAAAAAAGCAATTTAACTTACTAAGTATAGTTTTATTGAGCAATTATTGCAAATGATATTGGTGAAAATGTTTTCACAAAATTTGCATCTTCATTGTGATATGAATGCTGGAAATGGCCCGGTATTGTCGTACCTACCTTAAGGAATCAAAAAGTATAGTTGTAGCCCGGGTTTGAATCGTCTTATTGTTAATAATGCCACGTCGTTTCTTCTATCGTTAATTTATTGGTCAACAAATTCCCCGCCGCGTCTGCGTCTTTTCCTGGTTATTCCAAAAACTACTGAATATATTTATATGCGATATTTATCATCAGTTAGATGATTTTATAAGAAAGATTTTAATGTATAGTACAAAACCTATGAGGGTAGTGTTTCAAGAGGAAGGTTCATATGTATAATATATGCTCGAGAGCACAAACTATTGTCTTTATCGAAGCGAAGCGAGGGCGAGTAACTCGAACTGTATAAAGATGGATTCGGAAATGATTGAATGGCATACATCTATGTATCTGTTTCGGTTTTTTTTTGTAATAGACATACATTATTTATACATAATTATTGACTAAATTCTGCGAAAATACAGCTACATACTATGTTATGGTTTAGAACGAACCTCGCATAATATAGGAGGAAACCATAGGTACACTGAAATCACTGTTCTCTTTCTTCTGTTTTGTGGGTGGTAACTGCCGGCGGCTTACGACTCTGGAACTTTTATAAAGTACCGTCATCTCGTTGATACTATAACATGCTTCCTCTTCAAGTACACAAGCTTTTGAGTATTTGCCGTCCTTGTCGTTATTAAGAATATCCATCGTTCAAAAGATGAATCTATTGATTTTGGTTCTGATTTGTTGTTTCAAAATTTAGGGTAAGTACGTCTCACCGGGTCGCCCGTCGGGAGGAGACGCCGCGGTGCCACCACTGCGACGCTTCCAACGATACGGCCGAGCACACCTTATTGGAGTGCTCGACCTGGCAACGACAGCGCCGCGAGTTAATTGCGGAGCTAGGATGCGGAACCCTCTCGCTGCGGAGCATGGTCGAGGCCATGCTCCGCAGCGGGACGGCTTGGGAGGCAGCCGCCTCATTCTGCGAGGGCATCATCTCGCAGGAGGTGGCCTAGAGGGAACGGGAGGATAATCCTCTGGCCGCTCCCTGCCGCCTGAGAAGAACAGGAAGGGGAAGGAGAAGGCATGACCTGGCTGCGCTCGCCCAGTGACCCCCCCACCTGAGTGAATCCCTCGCTTGCCCGATGGCGTTAGCCATGCCAGTCACCGACGGATTCCGTGACGGCAGCCCTCTGTCGTAGTTCTGTCCTACATGAGAAGGCCGCGGAAGGGCCTGCGAGGCGAACGCGTAGGTAATCCATCCGCAGCGGACGGGGAGCGGTGCGGTGGGCAATAGACCGTGCACTTGGCTCTCAGCGCGAGCAGTCCTGCGCACGTCTGCGGGATCACCAGAGATACTCCGGGTGAACCCTGCCGTGGAGCCCCGGCTAGGCCGGGAGGCTGTTGGGTGCGAAGAAGCGGTGAAGTCCCCCAACGGGGATTCCGCACTTAACAGCAGGGTATTCGCAGGGTTTTTTAGCGGATAGTGTGCCGCAAGCACTCGTAAGCAGCGCAGACTGCGTAACGGCTTTCCGGTTTCGCACCCGTGAGACTTGCCAGAGGCTAGGTGTGAGCTCCGTTCGTTGATGTGCCCCTTAAGGGCGCCAACGTCTGTAAACAGAGATTTTGCCTGCGATATAAAAAAAAGGGTAAGTACGTCTGGCGTTTTTGTACCTTCACTCTCATCCTCTAAAACACTGCTGTCGTCAGAACAAATACACGTGCTGGTAGTACCAATTCCAAAATATGCCTGGTACCTCTCCATTGAAGCAATCGCAAAAAACACAACCAAAACCAAATACTTACTTATGTGACTCCCCCAGACTCTGATAATTATATAAATAAAATTCTTGCCTATATCCAAAATCTAGATGCTGTATAACCAAAAACAAACAATAATACAGCGAAGAAAATATTGCTTAAAAAGAATTGAACAGAATTGTTCACAAGCAAATAAGAGCCTTATTTTATAATTCATAAAAAAACAAATTGAAAAAATGTGTAAATGAACTTTAGTTATTATTTGCAGGATAAGCTGAAATACTTCAAATATATTCATTATTAGGCAGCTTTATGGCAACATTTCCATTCACAATTTGCTTATAAAAATAAAAATTGTATATGCAACGTTATTTATTCTCTAAATAGAGAAATGTATGTGCTTTATTCATTGCCGCGCAATATTAAGAATATCAACTTTCAATTTTCGGCAAAAAATCTTGTTATTAAAGAGTGCTTACTGACAAAATATTATTATTAGCGTAAGTAAATTAAAAGATGGGTGTATTTGAAACTAAGTCCAAAGAATTATTTTTGTACGTGTAATAGTTACTCCATTAATAAAGAAAACATACCAGTCAATAGAGTCGTATCTTTAGTCGGCCAGCACTATTTTGTCACTAAGTGTCAAATTATAATCTCAGATGCCATAATGTTTTTATTATTGATGGCAGTCTATTGCTTCAATACATTTTTGTTGTATTTACATACATACAATATTTATTTATGCAGTAAAAAACATATAGGTATCAGATGTTGAGTATTATCAACGTTGCGAATTATAGGGATAAAGATTTAAAAATTAGTTTGCGCCAATCAGTGACATCTATCATCAGTCTTTTAAAACTGATTAACGCCATCTGGCGACGAGTAGCTATCCAATGTTATTACTTCCACTCCCCAAAAGATATCGCTAAAATTATTTTTTTATATTAAATTACTACTACTTAAAGCATAACAATAATATAAAACAATAAGATTTATATGCAGGATAGGTTTAGACATTAGCAAAATTATCTGCCGTTTTCGCCTTATACAAGATAAGCAAATAATAAGGAGTGGGGAAGTCTTTCTAAAATGTAGGTAACAAAGATTATATAAATGAAACAATTTTTCTTTATATTAATAAAATTTTATTTAACACATCCGTAACCCAAGACGACAGTAAATATACATGTAAAAAAGTACAACATAAAAAAATAAGAAAGTTTTCAAACAGTCAAATCAAATCACAGTTTAAATGCAATAAATAAACAATTTAATACCATAAATTGCTAGAATAAAAAGGATTCCGCAGTGTTTTAATTAAATATTGTATATAGTTTCTAGTCAAATAAAATTCATATCTACTTACCACTAATCTATTATCTACTTTAGCTTACTATGTACGTATTATTTTATATAGTTCAACTAATACCGGTATTTGGCTATTCGATTTGTTATTTGTAAAATTGTAAACAGTATAAGGAAATACTGTTGTCACATTTATAAATATTATAAGGAATGACAAGAACAAACTGATGCCAAGTTTACAAATAGCAAACAGGAATAGCCAAGTGCAGTGCCGGTATAACACACTTGGCTACTCGATTAGCTGAACAGTATTTCCTTATACTGTTGTCAAGTTTACAAATATTATAAGAAATGACAAGGACAAACTTTTGTCAAGTTTACATATAGCAAACACGATTAGCCAAGTGCAGTGCCGGCATAACACTAAGGTAACTTTGCTCAGATTTGCAGTTTTGTGAAGCAGATTGATTGATTAATATAGAAGGCTAAGAGTTTATTAAGTTATATAATATTGTTTGAATTATATCTTCATACTTTTATAAAGAGACAACCTTTAAAGTAGAATTCACTAATCCTTACTAAATTACCATTATTGTTTGCCAAAATTATAACTATATATATACTATAATCAAAATCTAAATCACAATTATTTTAGAATTGGAATACCAAATATCGTTTTGGCTTTTAAAGCCGTTCAAGCAAAGCACCCTTATTGAGCAATACTATGATTCCATCGAATCATGTAATTCAACAAAATAAAGAAAATAAAATATATCATACACACCAACATAGGATCAACTTAAATTTGCTATATTTTTCGTTGTTCAGTTATATGTTAAATTCTTATAAATAAATACTATATTTATAAGAATTTCACACTCATACTAAACTAAATTACAAAATTCATAAGGTGTTTACTCTATTGTTAAAGAGCTGTTTTCCAGACAAATTTTCTATGTCAACCTAACTCTTTTTATATTTTAGAGAGCTGCGTTTGCATGTAACTGATATTACAAGTAGTATGGCAAAATAATAGCATTGGAATGTTAGGTAAATCTAAGTCATGACTAAGTCAAGACTTCATGTTTTTTACGGTATTTCAATGTCTGATTTGTTCAGAATAAGTGTAATGCCGGCACTTCACTTGGCTATTCGTATTTGCTATTTGTATACTTGACAACAGTCTGTCCATATCATGCTTTATAAAGATTGAAAAGAAAATACTCATGAGTGTCAATTTTACATACAGCAAACACGAGTGAAGTGCCGGCCAAAATGTAATGTATATTTGTAGAACGTGTAATTTACCATTATATTATTAACCAACTTTATGGCGGTTGTGAAGTTATTTTACGGCGGTGTGAAGTTAGCAGAGAGCGGAATTTTGGGCAGTTTTCAATTCAGTGAAAGCCCGCGTGCACCTAGAAGTAAGTACCTACTGGTGTCGATTCTGGTATGATTCTCTGAACTAAATTTAACATCGGTCTCTCCTTTTCATTCTGTATAGAAAATGACAAGGATAGAGAATCGACACCACTACCTTATTTGCGCCAACTTCACATCCGATTACAGATATTGCAAACCACGAAGACGCGCCCCACTATTCCTCCCAACCGTTTATAGTAAATGTGTGCCAGCTTCCGCCATATTTGAGTGTTATCGGTACACACTAATTATCTATGATAATAATAAATATTAATATGATAATTATCTTTTTATCACTAATTATCCTTCAACCAAAAATTGGTGGGGCGCATCTTCGTGGATTGCACTATGTGTACTTGGATTCGCACTATATTTGTAGAATACTAGTAGAATAGTTCGGAATAAATGTAAGTGCATGGGTGAACCTGTATCTGTAGTTAACATTCTTTATCGTTGTATCTATTTCTAACTGTATTTCCGTTTCTGATTAGTTCCAAATAATTGTGAATGTGTATTCATGGAATGTATTGGTGCGTATAGTTCAGAATATCCTCATGGTTAGAATATTTTAAGTCTTCATGCATTTAATTGCTAGATGTTTAAAATCTAAAGAAAATTTTACTAAAAAACAACAACATAAAAAACACCAACTCCGACCAGGTTTCAGACGGAAGATGCAGATTCGAATCCCGTCTGAAACCTGGTAGAACGGAGTTTTTTCTAGTAACATTTTCTTTAGATTTAGAATATCCTCATGGTGTTGGCACAGCCGTGGTTCATGCGATACTGAACGTACATCATGCCGGAGTTGTGCCAATAGTAGAGCGCGCCTAGAACTAACGCGTGCCACCACTGGTGCGAGTGCCCTATATAGTCCACCTTGCCGGGAAACCAGCGTTCTGGTACCTGAAGATAAATACATAACCGATTTTGAGATTAATAATAATAATAATAAATATTTCCAACACTCACACCAATTAGCCTAGCCCCAAAGTACGCACTGTAAGGCTTGTGTTATGGGATACTAGGGTAACGGATAGAATACATTATATAGGTATATTTATATAGAAATACATATTTAAGCATCCATGACTGGAGTACAAATGCTCGTATTCATCACACAAATATGCCCACCGGGATTCGAACCCGGGACCTCTCGAGTCGGCGACACCATGAAAGCCGGCGTATAAACCACTCGGCCACGGAGGTCGTCATAATTAGATTTATTTTCAGATTTGCAGATTAATTATCGCCTAGCGTTCTGGTACATACATATAGAGATACATGAGGACCTCGATGGCGCAGGTGGTTAGCGCGTTCGGCTGCGATCGTTGAAGTTAAGCAACTTTTGCAGTGGTCGGTCATTGGAAGTGCTTCCGTGCTTCGGAAGGCACGTTAAGCTGTTGGTCCCGGCTGCATCTGCAGTCGTTAGCACTCGCCAATCCGCTCTGAGCCTGCGTTAGTAGCGAAGGCCTTTGCCCCAGCAGTGGGGACGTGAATAGGCTGATGATGTTCTGGTACATATCTTAAAGTAAATACAACCCTATATAAAGGTTAGTTTTCTAATGGAAGGATCAATAGTCTGAGGAAAAAATATTACCTTGAAAGCGTAAATCGCGAACGCAGTGCCACTGATGACGTACATCCCTATGACTCTAGGGAAGAACATCTGGAACAGAAAACAAGGTAATCCTTACAATCATGCATGCTGTTAACACCTATATCGATATATTACATAAGTTTTGGCTCCTAGTGATAGGAGATGAGGAATGAAACAGCCAGTGCTTGATAACTAAGAATGTAGTTTATTCTTATATAAATCTTATATACTAATCTTCCTAAGTAATATTGATGCGCGTCATCTGAAAATTCTGTTATAAAGTAAGCATTGTAAGGCTTGTGTTATCGGGATACTAGGATAACGGAAAGAAATACATTATAATGATATATTTTTATAGAAATATACAGGTGTCCCAAAACTTTGGCACGTGGTTGGAAAGCACCTTAAATACTAAATAAAAAGTATTCCTGAAAACAAAATTCATTTTTATTTTATGAACAATACGTACCGAGTAACTGCGGGTTACTTTGACCTAAAATGTGCACTTTTTTTCAAATAAAATTTTAGCTTCACGTTTATATCTTGCCATTGTGAACTTTAAAGTATAAGTTACAAAGTTATCATACGAAAATAGGAAAAAATAATATTTAAGGGTTAATATATTTTTTTTAATTTTGGGCCAAAGTTGGCCTTAAAGAGGGTTACTTTAGCTCGTTGAGTTTTCTCTGTGGAAAAAACTCATTTTAAGCCATGTTGGGGTTAAGTAACCCTTATAACAGATCACCATTAGCATACTGAATACACAAATGGATGTTTTTGCCCAAAAATAATTAAGTTAAATAAAAAATATAACTTTAAATTTAGAAAAAATAGTAAACTTACCGAAAACCACAGTTTTGAGAAAGTTTGCGCATGAACTTGCGAACTATTTCAGTTACAAAAAATCCCGCGTTACAATGACAGGTTGATACAGGAACGATGTCGGTAAAACAACACCACACTTGCGCCTATATGGCTATCTGTGATTTTCAACTGGAACTATTACGGTCACCCAAGAGATACTGATGGGGCGGCAAGTTCAATATTTTTTCTGATTTGGGACAAAGTTACCCGCCCGAGCTAAAGTAACCCTCATATACGGTACTGCATTCAAAGAATTAAAAAAAACATACATCTGAACCTGATAAACGTGAAAAATAAATTACCGGTAATTTTACTGTACAGTACCCTTAGCACGAACCAATATCGAATTCGTATCGTTTGCGAGTGCAAAATGTCATTGTCAAATGTGTACTGATTTTTTGTTCTCGCTACGTACGTTATGGCGCTGCTGTTTAAGTTTTCATACAAAATTTGTTAATGACATTTCGCACTCACAAACTATTCGAATTCGATATTGGTTCGTGCCAAGGGTACCGGTCGAAAGGCTCCATCATACACATCTATTTATTCTCAGTAACATTAGCATCTAAAATTAAAAGCATATAAACAATTACAAATTAATAACAAGATTTTTTTGCCTAATAGCAGAGAGAAGTTTAATGCAGTTCATATTATTTTAAAAATAATTGACGTCTTCTTTCAAGAAGACTGTCTATCTACAATATTTAAGATAATTTCTCTCCAAGTGGCAAAGTTTTTAGAAATCGTGAATATAAGCAGAACCGAATATAAACTCAAGTTAGTACAAATGCACGTATTTATCACAAACATTTCCCCACAGGGATATGAACCGAGGACCTCTAGTAGGTGACACCTTGAAAATAAGCGTATAACCGACCGTTCCACCACGAAGTTTTTTTATACTTTATAGTTGGGTCCTACAAATGATTCCACTCCACCTGATGTTAAGTGACGGTGAAGTCCAGACGTGAAGATCTTCGGATCGGTCATCGGTGAGTAATGTTCCAGGGCCTCACCGATACGAGAATACAGGCCGACAATATGAAAATGGATTAAGCGGCACACTTTTCAGCGGCATTAGTTTTCTTCGTGACTGGACTTCACTTACATATTAACACATCAGGCGGAGTGCTATAATTCGCTGCGCCGTGTAAGAGAAAATAAATATACTTCAGTAAAAGGAGAAATAAAACTAAGAAAGGAGTTACAAGCTAAACGGCGCAGTAGTATGTCGCCTTCGATCGGAAATCGTGAAATCTCCCATAGCATAGGTCCAGTGCAGGGTCGGCAGGACCCCGTACGACGATCATATAATCCCGAAGTAGTGCACTTGGAACCGCGGCGCTTGCGTCACCATAGCCACCATGAAGATATGAAAAAGAAATCAGTTTCTCACCTGCACCATTGGGTTCTCGAATCCTCCCATAGCATAGGTCCAGTGCAGGGTCGGAAGGACCCCGTACGCCGCCCAGCCGATGAACACGCACATCTTCACCAAGTAGGGCACTTTGAACCGCGGCACTTGCAACGCCATCGCTACCACGAAAATCAGTGTCACCGATGTCATGTAGAACGCTTTCAATTCCTGGAACGAATAGTTTGATTTTTTATACTAATAAATAATACATAGGCAAAGAATAAAGAACCTCCTCCGTATTTGTTTAAGTCGATTCATTGAGGGACAACATCACATATTCTACATAATATCATTGTCTACTTCTTCGATACCAAAGCAGACTAAGCACTTCTTGGAAATCGAAATACAATGCAAAAAACATCCGATTACAAAAATCTCCAGACTCAAGTTAGTACTTACTAATACTCAATGATGACAATATTATGAATGAATTTTAACTTAATAAATTTTAAAACACCCCGAAGTCATTTATAAAACACATAACCCTGCTGCGCGTCGCGCATTGCGCTCTTGCATTGCGCAGCCGGGTAAAAAGAAGACCACGCAATTAAGAGCCTTTTTAAAAAATTGCGCCGCTGCCGAACTGTTCGGCGCGTAGGAGGTAGATTTGCACAAGTATATATTGCATTTTACGGGTGATGTTTCGAGACTTATAAAATAATAATTAATGAACTAATTATATAAATATATACATATTTCAGTAGTTCAATGATGGTAGATTAGTTTTATGAAAGATTTTGATAGTAATTCTATTTAATTCAATATCAAAATACGAGGTAAATCTGCATTATTTTTTGGGAAAACTCACGGAAGTTAGATTTTTTTTTTTGATAATTAATGAGAGGGAAAATCAAAATCTTAATACATTATGTTACAACAAAAACATATTTCTGATGTCGTAGTAATTAATTTGATCTAATTTTTTGAACATTATTGAGAGATTGAGGCTTTTAAAGTATTTGCAAATATTGTACATTAACTTACAATAGGAAGAATAAATGTTCTGTTTACTTCTATTGGCAATAGTCAAAATCTTTTCTAAGGGGGTAAACGAGGCCTTCAAAAATTACGTTTTTCTTTGCAAAAAACGTGAAAGGGCTCTTAAATGGTGTGTTTTCGAGATTTTGACGTTTTGTCTAAATTACATAGAACCAAAATTTGAGCGATAAACGCCAGGAAGTTTTTTTCTCTGATAAGGTATTAATTTCCATTCAGATTTTGCGTATGTTATTAAAATTTACACCTGTCAACGTGCTGTCAACCCTGTTTCAAACCATTCAAGTCATATTTCATCATCATCCAATCCAGTATCAAATAAGCACCTTTTGTTCCAACGTTAGTAAGACGAAGAAAGATCGTATTCCGACAATGCGCCAATCCGTCACACGTCATTGAAAACAAGCGTGCGTGCCTGTCATATAAGTAAGTGTTATCTAGAATGTTCGGAATAATTACACTCATTCTAGCCACGGCTAATAGCTTACCCAACCGAGCCTAAGCATGATCTTCAATAGTATTTACTCGAGGACATGTAACGAAACAATTAATTGATATAAAGAAATGGGGAGCACGTGCTTCGCTAAGGTCACTGTCGCAGCGATTTTGTAACACGTGTCACTCACGGTGCGACGCGCCCGCGCATATCAATTGATTGACTATTAGGAATGTCAACGGTTGCATTTAACTTGCTCTTAATAGTGTTTCTTATTTCAAAACGAAAAACGGAACCCTTATTAAATTGGGATTAGGATCACTTTATTATCCGTCTGTGCGTCTATCAAGATCTTTTAACTCGAGAACGCGTAAATGTATCGATTTAAAGTTCTAACCATATACTCAGGTTTACGATCCCGTCTGCGAGAGCCACGAGTCTGTCCTGCCGGGTGCCGCGACCACACCCGCCCTCTTGGCACGCACTAGGGGAACCGCGGTTCACATAGTGCGTATCGGGTGACGGTGCAGGAGTATTGTCTGGTTTTTGGTGGCCCTGTTCAGGGCGTAGGTAGGGCCCTGTTCACTTCAGCGAGCTCCCGGGTTGGCTAAAGGGGACAGGGAGGTGTCCCACATACCTTCTTCTCGCTCCCCCAGTGGTTGAAGGATGCGTAAGGCATTTCCCAGACACAAAAAAAAAGGTTTACGATCCCATGAATCAGGAAAAATTCAACCTAAAAACTAAAAGTATTTTATTTTATTAAAGTATTTTGGAAATAAGTATTTAGTATTTAAAATATAAAATGAAAAACTATTTTGTATTTGAAATTAAAAAATATTAAAGTATTTACATTTTGTATTTAAGTACTTACATATAATGTATTTTGCACATCTCTGCTAATTATTTAGCCGCGAGTCGAACTCACGCGCAAAGTATTCAGTGCCATCGTACAAGATTTAACACTTAAAATATCAGGTTTGTTTTATGCGATATTCCTTAATATTATTGTTGAAACGTCAATTGAATTAAATTATTATTATATGAAAAAATCAAACTACTTATCTACGTAAAAATTATAATAATACGTACTATGTAATCATTTTAATTTTTAAAATGAATACAAAGTGAGTTTCTGTAATTGAATAAAGTACCGTTTAAAATTTTATATTAGATTATACTGTGTAAAACGCTGTTGAAACTTGTTGATGATAAATAAAGAAATAAATAAAATAATATACCTACTACAGCACACTGAACGATGCTTGGACGGAAGAAAGAACGGATCGGACGGACGGACGGCGGCACTGTAATCTTTATTTATGATACGGAATACATCCGTATTCCGATCCCTAAAAAGGGTACATTGAATGTTTGTAAGTAGCGGAATAATATTCGAATTAGAGTATTAAATTATAACATTATCCTATTATGTTAATCTACAAAATACGATTACAGTAATTTGGCACAATCTTCTGTAATGCCTAAACTAGCCCGTCATGCGGAAAATAAGATACTTAGTTTACTGTATGCCTTCGTTAACGTAACATTATTTTACTAGTTACTCAAGGGATCCTTATCCTAATTCCTAAAAGATCAGAATTACTTTAATCTCAATTTAACCCGGAAGTGGTTGGTCATCTCATCATCGACATTATCTTAGAACACACTGTACTTACTCAAGTATGCCACACTCGCCTATCTACTATTTTCATTTACTATCTCTTATCTTAATACTGCGTATTGATTTTTACAGTATAAACTATCATTAAACACAAAATAACTTGATATTAGTGTAGATTGGATGCCTATAATGTACGTAGAAAGGCCGTTTTGAATTAGGCACAAATCGAGATATTTTAAATATTACGAATTTCAAATGACCGATTTGGCTGAATGTTTTTTTTTAAGTACTCATAAAATCGGAGACTGCTAACCTTATATTCAATCACAATGACTTCTGATGTATTCGCACTGTGTCTAGCATTTAGAGGTTTCCTAACCTAATGGATTGCGATGTTATTATGTTTACAACAAACGCACGCAAAAAATAGTTTAAACGCAAAATTAATTATACATTGAATGCTTTTCATCCGTGCGGTTGGTGAAAGGCAACGCTCCTGCCCTCTTCTCCAAAGGTCTTGGGTTCAAGAACGGATTTTTTTGTGTAAATATTGATCACTAATACATAAATATGTGTTTTTGAGGCGTGGTAGTTACCTTATTATGTAAGTATTATATCCATAGAACATGCAATTCTTAGTTTGGGACTCAATAAGATTTGGTATAAACTGTCCCGAATATAAGTTTAATGACATGAGATAATATTTTTTATTTATTGCAGTTCGACTCTGACGTTATAAAAACAGAAATACATGAAACGGAACCGGTTTAAGTACCAATATAAATATCCTTTTTTTGTGAGACGCCAAAGTTGCCGAAGTTTATGAGCTACATTCAGATATTCCGAGAGAGACGGCACATCGGCACAAGTGAAAGTGTATCTCTATGGCTTGAGGTGACGTTGAAAATAATGCCGTTCGTAGCGACCGAATGAAGATTGCACACACCATGCATCGTACCGTTACTCTGTACTTACCTACGATTAAAATGTAGTTAAGCTTGACTTGACCTACAGACATACCAATAATATTATTGTAAAACTAGTGTAGTCCGCAACAAATTAATGTCGGATGGAAGTTTTACGAAAAAAAGAGTCCGAATTTATATTGGCATTTTTTTACCAACATGCAACCCTGATTTACAATTTCCGTATCGCATAAATACATATGTGTAACTAGTGAGGGTAAATTTTTAATTACTTATAATACCTACATTTGTCCTTGCATAATGTTTTTAATTCTCAACGTCACCACACAACATGAAATAATTACAAGAGAAAATGTTTTTTTATGTAATTTTGTTATGTCATGTAATAAAAAAAATGTTAGTAGTGGTTGTCTAATGTCGATTACATATGAGTACAATGCTTACTTAGCATAATTATTTTTGTCCACCATTATACTACTAACCTAACCAGAAAAATGACAGAGGTCCGAAAGACACTGCCCGCCTCTCCTCTTAACACTGAGTAATTAGTTACCATTTGTATGCAAAATGTTATGTCGTTATGATATAGTTGAATTGAGATTTATCTTTACTAGATGATGTTGTTGACTTAATTAAATAAACGTGTATACTATTTTCACTCGAAATCACAAACGACGCCATTGAAAATGACATCTCTCGAGTTTAACCATCACCGGTAACTTTCTCTTGTAACTTTAAAGAGCCCAGTGTAGATAGAACGACTTGGTCCAATGTGTACACTGGGCTTGACTGCCGTTGTTTCGACATTGGCGTTTTGACGTACTAATTAGCGCGCGCCAAGAACACAGATCCTTTGAAGTGTTGGAAACACCGTAACTATTTGGCTGGTATACGACAAGTACTTACATATATCACTTCTATTACTACAAAAAAGTTTGTCCGGCGTTCAATACAAATTTTAAGAAGAAAACGTCTTAAATATAATTTGTTTGTTAAACATGGTTTAAAACTAGTGTTGCCCAAATTCAGTCTTGGTCTTGCAGTCTTGGTCTTGTTCTTGCAGTTTTGCAAGACCAAGACCAAGAACAAGACCGCGTATTTTTAGCAAGACCAAGACCAAGACTGACCGTGCAAGACTTGAGCAAGAACAAGACTAATCCGGCAAGACTCTTGCGTCTTGCAGCTAGGA